ATAAAATCTTTTAAAAAAATAAATAAATAAAGATTTATTTATTTTAGAGAGTGTGTGAGTGAGTGGGGGAGAGAGGCAAAGAGAGAGAGAGAATCCTGAAGCAGACTCCCCACTGAGTGTGGAGCTGGACGTGGAACACAATCCCAGAACCCTGAGACCATGACCTGAGCTGAAATCAAGTCAGCCACTTAACTGACTGAACCACCCAGGCGCCCCCTATTGTACTTTTGAGAAAGTTATTTATTCAACATTAAGGTAGCCCCAAGTACTTGGAATATATCAGGAGTCAGCAGACCTTGGCCGAGGGCCACATAAGCCCACAGCCTATGTTTGTTACTGTGAGCTGAGAATTGGTTTTAACATTTTTAATGATTGAAAAAAAACCAGAAGGATAATATTTTTGAGGCATGAAAATGATAGGAAGGCCAAAATGTTTCCTGTCTAGCTCCTGCTGACCCCTGGAACGCTTTAAATATCTCCTGATAACAGGAGTAATTGATTAAAAGTTGTGCCAGAATCGGGATGGGACCACATTGGGCCATAGGAACTAGACATAACTGAAGGGTGTGGATTCAAACAGCTTTCAGAATGAAGAGGATTCTGGGAAAATGGAGTAGAAAGCACCAGGAATCCATCTCCCCACCTAGACAACAATCATAACAACAGAATCTGATGTAACTGTCTTGGAACTCTGAAGTCTATGGAAAGATTGCCTCTTCCAGGGAAAGAATGGAAAGGTTAATTTTGGTTAATTTCAGCTCTTACCACAGTAGATATATCCAGCCCCCATTTCAAACCACAAGGCAGACAGCTATGTGTGTGCTCCTGGAGTAACCCACACACAGCTTGCCACAGAGAGGGTGGGCAAAAAGGACTCTGTCCTCCAAATATCAGGGATCTGAGCTCTGATTGCTCATTGCTCTTTCTTATCACAGAGGTGCAGACAAAGAGGTGAACAGCAGACTTTTGTGTGTTATTGAAGTTAAACTAGTATAAATTCAAATTAGAGCCTTATAACTTTAGGATGTTAAATGTAATCCCCATGGTAACAACAAAGACAATAGCTATAGAATATACACAAAAGGAAATTGAAAAGGAATTGAAACATTTCCCTACAAAAAATCAACTAAAAACAAAAGACAGCACTGTGGGAAATGAGGGACAAAAAAGCTGAAGGGCATATAGAGAACAAATAGAGTGACAGAAGTGAGTCCCCTCTTATCAGTAATTACTTTAAATGTAAATGGATTAAACTCTCCAGTCAAAAGATAGAGATTGGCAGAATGGATAAAAACACATGATCCAACTATATGCTATCTACAAAAGACTCATTTGAGATCCAAAGACACAGGTTGAAAGTGAAAGAAAGGGAAAAGATATTACAGGCAAATAGCACCCAAAAGAGAGCAGGGTGGCTATATTAATATCAAACAAAATAGATTTTAACTAAATAAAAAAGGTTATAAGAGACAAAGGATGTTACATATTAGTAACAAGGTCAATATAGCAAGAAGATGTAACAATTATAAACATTTACACACCTAATGAACATCAAAATATATGAAACAAAAACTGGTAGAATTGAAGGGAGAAATGGACAGGGATGATAAAGATTAGAGTAGAGATAAATGAAATCATGAGTAGAAAAACAACAGAGAAAATCAATGAAAGCAAAAGTTGGTTCACCAATAAGATCAAGAAAATTGACAAAACCTTTAGCTAAATGGACAAAGACTCAAATTACTAAAACCAAATTACTAAAACTAAAATGGGATGTTACTACCAATTCTACAGAAATAAAAAGAATTATAAGACAATACTAAGAACAGTTATACACCCCCAAATTGGATAACCTTGATGAAATGGACAAATTCCTAGAAACACAAAGCCCACCAAGACTCATGAAGAAATAGAAAATCCAAAGAGATCTATAAATAGTAAAGAGAGCAGTAAGCCAAACTCTCCAAACAACGAAAAGTCCTGAATCTGCTGAATCTCTCATGAATTCTATGAAACATTTAAAGAAGAACTAATACCAACCCTTTTCAAACTTCATGAAAAGAATTGAAGAGAAGGGAATGTGTATTTCCCAACTCATTCTATGAAGCCAGCATTATCTTGACACCAAAGACAGACACTGCAAGAAAAGAAAACTACAGAACAATATCTTTATGGACACTGATACAAAAATCCTCGACAAAAAACGAGCAAAAAGAATTCAGCATATTAAAAAGGATTATACACTATGACCAAGTGGCATTTCTACAGGTCTGCAAGGATGATTTGAAATACGAAAATCAGTCAATATTATATGATACATCAACAGAATGAAAGAAAAACACATGATCATCACAAATTTTATCATTTCAAGATAAAAACAGTCGACAAACCTGAAATAGCAGGAAACTACTTCAACATAATAAAAGCTATCTATGAAAAACCCACAGCAAACACAGTGGTGAAAGAAAAAGCTTTTCCTGTAAGATCAGAAACAAGGCAAGGATGCCCACTCTCACCACTTCTATTCAACATAGTACTAGAAGTCCTAGCCAGAGCAATTAGGCAAGAAAAATAAATACAAGTCATCCAAAGATCATTTAATTTCTTCCTTTGCAGATGATAGGATCTTATACATAGAAGTTCATAGAGATTGCACACATACACACAAACTATTAGAACTAATAAATGAATTCAGCAAAGTAGCAGGATACAAAGTCAACACACACACAAAGAAACAGTTGCATCCCTATATATGAACAATGAACAATCTGAAAGTGAAATTACAAACACAATTCCAGTTACAATAGCATCCAAGAGAGTAAAATACTTAGGAATTAAGCAAGGAGGTGAAAGACTTGTACAGTGATAACAACAAAGTATTGCTGAAGGAAATTAAGACATAAATAAATGAAAATATATCCCATGTTCATGGATTGGAAGACTCAGTAGTGTTAGAGTGTTAACACTAGACAAAGCAACCTACAGATTCTAAAGCAATATACAGATTCAATCTAATTTCTTTTTTTTTTTAAGATTTTATTTATTTATTTGACAGAGAGAGAGAGTTAGTGAGAGCAGGAACACAAGCGGGGGAGTGGGAGAGGGAGAAGCAGGCTTCCCACCGAGCAGTGAGCCTGATACGGGGCTCGATCCCAGGACCCTGGGATCATGACCTGAGCCGAAGGCAGATGCCCAACGACTGAGCCACCCGGGTGCCCATCAATCTAATTTCTATTAAAATTTCAATGACTTTTTTTTTTTTCAGAAATGAAAATACCCATTCTAAAATTCATATGGAATCTCAAGGGACCCTGAATAGCCAAAACAGTCTCAAAAAAGAAGACCAAGGGGTGCCTTGGTGGCTCAGTTGGTTGGGCATCCAACTCTTGATTTCAGCTCGGGTCATGATCTCAGGGTCCTAGGATGGAGCCCCGTTTTGGGCTCCGCATTCAGCAGGGAGTCTGCTTGGGGATTCTCTCTCTCCCTCTTCCTCTGTCCCTTCCCCCACTTGCATGCTCTCTCTCTCTCCCTCAAATGAATAAATAAATCTTATTTTTTTTAAAGATTTCATTTATTTATTTGACAGAGAGACAGTGAGAGAGGGAACACAAATGGGGAGTTTTAAAAAGTGAAAGTCAATGGAAATGTAGTTTTAAAATATCCATCGGTAATTCAAATTTGAGGAATGGTTTTTTAAAGTTCTTTTCTCTTGTGATGTGATGTCTTGCAGAAGTTTTCTCTGTGATAGTTTTTCTTTCTTTTTTTTTTTTTTTTTTAAGATTTTGTTTATTTATTTGACAGAGAGATAGCACAAGCAGGGGGAGCAGCAGAGGGAGAGGGAGAAGCAGACTCCCTGCCGAGCAGGGAGCCTGACGTGGGGCTCAATCCCAGGACCCTGGGATCATGACCTGAGCCGAAGGTAGCCGCTTAACTGACAGAGCCACCCAGGCACCCTTTGTCGTAGTTTTTACATGCTTATCTCTGAATTTATCATGATCAGCATCAGGCTTTGGACACCTGTTATGCCATTCTCATGTTTGTATACACTGCTGGTCATAGTGTTACACAGAAGTAGAGAGAACAAGGCAGGCGTCTGGGTGGCTCAGTCAGTTAAACATCTGCCTTTGACTCAGGTCATGATCTCAGGATCCTGGGATTGAGCCCTGCTTCGGGCTCCCTGCTCAGGGGGGGGGTCTGCTTCTCCCTCTCTCTGCTCATGCTCTCTGTCTCTGTCTCTATCAAATAAATAAATGAAATCTTTAAAAAAAAAAAAACAAAAAAACTGAGGCTCAGGGAGCAGGGGCTGGGTGGCTCAGTCAGTTAAGCAGTTAAGTGTCTGCCTTGGGCTCAGGTCATGGTCTTGGGGTCCTGGGATGGAGCCCTGTGTCAGGCTCCCTGCTCAGTGGGGAGTCTGCTTCTTCCTCTCCCTCTGACCCTCCCCGTTTGTTCTCTCTCTCTCTCTGCACTCAATCTCTCAAATAAAATCTCAAAAGAAAAACCAAAACAAAACCTTAAGGCTCCCAAAGATTAAACTTCCTTGCCCAAAGGCAGGTCAGCCTGTTTTGAGCCCTTCTGTCTACCCCATTTCCTCATAAAAATACATTATGTGCATAAATATTTTATGATCACTGTTAATGGAAAATGTCCAGATTTTCCGGTCATGTCTGGGCATGTTCTGAAGCTTAATTTAATATTTAAAACATGTAGGTGCTTAGAAATAGGGAAATTCTGACCAGTTTTCAAGGAAAAATTTCATGTTTTAATCCCCAGGTAGTAGACTTTCATACAAATAGTTCACATACCATAGCTTTTATTTTAAAAATTGAACTGGAATGTTTTCCAGTGATAAGAAAAAAAGGAAATTACACAAACAAGCATCCTCTGAGAACTCAGGGAGGTAGACATGGTGTTTTTTGTTCGTCCCTCAGGATGCCACTTCCAAGTTCAATGTCACATCCACTCTGGCAAATTGATAATGTCCTTTAAGTAATTATGTGCAGCCTGGATCTCTCTTAATTCTGAAGGTTCATCACTGCAAGTTCTAGAAAAAAAAATTCGCAGTCATCTGCTTGTGTTTACACAGCCTCACAGAATCCCTAGGGGTGGGTGCAGGCCCAGGTCAGTGGATGTGGTGAAATTTTATTTGAGACAGAAAGGTACCCGGATGCTCTAGTACATTCCTAAGGCTTAAGGTCAATAAAGCAGCAGCGGGGTAATTTCAAACATCCTCGGAAGGTTTGACAAATTTTCCAGATTCCTCCTGCAAACCTTGTTTAGTATATCCAGAAACCCTTAATCTGAATATGTGTGTGTGTGTTGGGACATAATAGCAACAAATACTGAGCTTTGCTGTATTAAATGCTTTACACACATTAGCCCATCTAACTGGCAAAATAGCCTTGGAAGATTCACATCCCTGTTTTAGAGAATAGGACACAGGCATGGGGAGCTGCATAGATCCAAATATGTCTCAGCACAGTGAATAAGAGCTGGGATCCCAGGGCACAGGGCACCTCTCAGAGCTTCAGAGTGAGCCTAAGCCTCAGGCAGCACATCAGGGACGCTTCCTAGACTGTTAAATCCTTTTCTTACTCAAGTGCTGCCTTACACTTGAGAAGCTGCCGTGACCAGAGGAGTAACCTGAGGGCCGTCGCTGTCCATTTCAGTATCCACACCAAAGTCTGGTTATTCCTGCACACGTAAGCTTCCGGTCCTCGTATGTTATTTCAGAGGAATGGCTGGGGTGACGCATTAGAGAAGGAAATTGAGAACAGCTCATTTTTTTTTTTTTTTGGTAGGACCCGATATTTGTGGATTTGATATCAAGAAAGTTCATGTTATTTTACATTTCAAGAATCAGTATCACTCAAACAAGAAATCAATCAGGTGTAAGGTAAGCTTTTGTATTCAAATCTGCAATTGTGTTAACTCTTCATGATAACCTAAATTTAGGGAAAATAGTTTTGATCTTAAAATATTTAATTGAGCCAGAGATGGATCTTAGCAAGACACTCCCTGCCCCTGGTTTCCAGTGTAGCAGGCTCATTAGAGATACCTACATACCCCGTTGGCTTGTTTTCTGAGGTTTGTACCCATCAGGAAGGAAGAGCCACTTTTTACTGTGACCTGCACTATAATTTGCTTTGTAGGGTTACAACAATATAGTCACAGTTCAGCTGTATCCCTCCTCACTAAGGAATGAAACATTCAGCATGGGAAAAAAAAAAAACAAAACAGCCTGGAGAAATTAATCTTCAAAGTACCAAAACATTTAGAAATGGGAATGTTTCTGAAATGAAAGCATACTTTATTACCTTCTACCCATGGATCCTATGAAAGTAACACTTTCTGCCTTGGAGCCCACTTTATAACTCCACGGCCCAGCCCAGGGCTTCTCCAAAGACACAGCTTGCATCAAGTCCCTGGCCCTGGGCCCATGGAAGGGAGGTACACTCCCCGAAGCACCCCCTCCATTTGAATGTAGTGGCCAGGAAGCAGGGACCTGTCCCCTGGGCCACCCCCAGTGCCCAGAGCTCCAACATGGGAGGCCTCCACAAATCTGGGCGAATGTGGGCAGGAGGCCGGAGTGCATTTTGAGAGCACATTGATAGCATGGAGGGGAAGGGTCCTGACCCAAGCTGGGGGGTGTTCGGTCTCCCCACAAGCTCCAGTGAGTCTCTATCAACAGCGTGGTTCCCACCCACTGACTTGGTGACTACAAAGGATCATCTGGTCCCCTCTACACGGAGAGGCCTGACATCCCTCCCGGGGGGGGGGGAGGTAAGGGAGAACTTGAAATCCAAATCTTAGTGCATAGGTTTTATACCTGATTCCCAAGAAATTGTTCACTTGGGCATCAGGTGTGTAGGAGAGAGCAGAGGTCACACTAACAGAGGCTGTGGAGTCTGACCAGGACCATGCTGGGGAGGTAAGATAAAGCATGATCCGCTCAGGTCAGCGAGCCTGTTGGGAGGGGCGGGGGGGGCGGGTTGAGTGGCACCTTCAGGCTGATGACGCTCTCAGATGTGTGCTATTTCTGCAACCTGCTAGAAAAATAAAATGCTTCTGTTGAAGGAGCCCTGACTCACAGCAAGTAGTCGGGCATTCCAGTCTTCCCAGTGAGGAGAAACTATCTCCAGGGGGTCTGATCCATTCAGTGATGCTGTGAAGGAACAGCTGGGCACCTCCCCTACAGGCAGTGGTCAGCCCTTGGGGCTCTGCAGGGAGGGGGTCAGATCTGCATGTTAGAAAAGTACCTCGGATGCTCTTGGGAGGAGGGGTGGAGGGACAGGGTGATCAGTAGGCAGGGAGAAGGGTGAGATTGTTAGGCCAAGGCTTCAGTGGAATGCAGAACGGCGGACCGTTTTGACAGATAATTCAGGGGCGGGACCCAGAGGACTTCACAATGTTTGGAAAGTGAGTACTGGGGATATGGACCATGACTCTCAGCAGCACTGCTATTAATCAGCAGGAAAAGCAAAGGCCAGTAAGGAGGCCAGGGAACACTCGGGAATTGTGTTTGGAACTGTTGGTTGTGAAATCCTGGCAGACATCCAGTTAGAGGTGTCCAGAAAGTTGTTGGAAACTGTGGTCTGAGGGTCAGGATGTGCCTGCCTGCCGGCCGGCAGTGTAAAACAACACTTGAGTAAGAAAAGGATTTAACAGTCTAGGAAGCTCAGGCAAATGGTTGGGATCAAAGATCCTGGTTTGGATCCATTGCATATGTGTGGGAGTGGATGTTATCCCTCAAGAGGCTCTGCACTTGTGGTTAAATCTTGGAAGGTACCAACAAGCTGGCCAGTGAGCCCAAAGTCGAAATTAGGAAAGGTGAGTGGAGATGAAGACGGGCAGAGAGCAGGGAGACAGCGTTGGGAGAAGTGTGTACTCAGCTGTCCCAGCGAACTACGGAGGTTGAGAGGGACACAGAGCCATCGGCCATGGTGTGAACAGCAGCGACCTGTCCCTCAGGGCAGAGCAGAGGGGTACTGAAGAAGCTTTTACCTTTGGCTCTTAGCAGAGGGAGGATCCTCCTGACAGAGCCTTTAAGATGCTGGGGCAGGGGTTCCCAAACCTGAACAGCGAGCATCAGCATCTCTGGAGAGTCCACCCAGGTGCAGATGTGCACCCAGAAATGTCAGACCTGGGAACTGACATTTCCCAGGCATTTCCCCAATGACACTGATCCTGCCCGGCCCCACTTTGAGAACGGAACGCTGCTGGAGCCTGGTGCATGAGTCTCCCCTGCTGCCGGCAGGCAGGCACATCCTGGGCACCCCCAACCTCCCCAGCACCCACTGTCCACCTTCCATCTCTTATTTATTGAATGCTTGCTGAGTGCTTCCCTTGTGTCTGGCCTGGGGCCTTAACTATGACCAAGAGAGACACCAGGCCTGCCCTCGCTGAGCTTAAATCTTTGGACAGCTCAGAGCGTTAGAAAGTTCTCCCCTGTGTTGAAAAATAGACTGGGCTTCATTTGGTATCTTTCAGAAAGAGTACAGAACAGGAAGTTGTTTTCCTCATAACTTTTCATAAATCAAACAGAGCAGGGTCCCTTGGTTTACACCCACCACCCTGTCATAAGCGCCTGTGGGGGTCTAGGTGGGAGCCGCTGTCTACAGAAAAGGAAGTCAGCCACTCAAGTCCACTTGGTAGTGAGGAGGTTTTGTACAAAGGGGAGACTTCTTCTTTAGGACACATTTTTTTTAGTCAAGTCAACCCCTGTCCCTAGAACCTCTCTCCTTCGTATCTATAACAAGGCTTTGAAAACTTAAACCATGTCTATAGACCTGCCCTGAAACGTCAAGGGTCTCATCATTATCCTTTCTCCCCTTAAAACGTGCAGGTTGATGGCTTTACACACCTCTATGCTCTGATTTTAAGACCAGACCTCACTTACGAAGTGAAGATTGATGGTCAGTCGATTGAATCTGGCGACATCGAGTATGACTGGAACTTAACGTCACTTAAGAAGATGAAGAAGTCCTCTGCAGAGTCCAAGGATTGGGACCAGGCTGAAGGTGACAAATCCCAGGTGTGGGTTTTTCCCAAACAAGTCTGGAGAGGGTGCCAATGAAGTTTGTAAGTACCCGGGTCCTGTGGGATTGCTGCACGGCTGGTCATCACGATGTCAACATTATCACAAAGTGTCCTTCCCGGGGGCTCCTGGGTGGCTCAATCCATTGAGTGTCCAATGCTTGATTTAAGCTCAGGTCATGATCTCAGGATTTTGAGATTGAGCCCCGCATTGGGCTCCACACTGGGCACGGAGCCTGCTTAAGATTCTCTCTCCCTCTGCTCCTTCCCCTGGCCCCCAGCATGCACTCTCTTTCTCTCTCTCTGTTAAAATAAATAAATAAATAATTAAAAAATCGATCTTTCTGGAAAAAAAAAAGAAAGTGTCCCCCCTGGGGCATTTGCTGCTGAAACCAGCCACACAGCTTCACCCAGGTATTGTGAAAGAATTTTATATTTGATATGAAAGAAAGTTAGGTTTTGGTTTTTTAACCAATGTTTTTTCTAAAAAAAGGATAATGCATCAACAGCCTTTATAAAAATGATTTTTTTGTTATTCTGAATTTGGACATAAAGTATTTTTTGAGCTTCACACTTGTGATTGACAAGCAAGAATCTGGTAACATAACGGCTATGCATTAGGTTCCTAGGGCTGATGTAACATAGTACCACAAGGTGGATGGCTTAAGATGACAGAAATGTATTCTCACATGGTTTTTGAAGGCAGAAGGCAGAAATCCAGGTGTCAGCAGGGTCACACTCCCTCTGAAGGATCCAGGGGACAATCCTTTCCTCGTTTCTTCCAGCTTCTGTTGGCTCCTGAGTTCCTTGGCCGGTGGACATCAGTCTCTGCGTCCGCCTCCACATGGCCTTCTCGTGTCTCTTCTCTCTCTTTTAAAGACGTTTTCCCTTGGATTTAGGGCCCACCTGGATAATCCAGAATGATCTGCCTCAAGATCTTTACCTGGATTACATCAGCCGAGATCCTTTTCTCGATATAAGCTCGCATTCCCAGATTCTGAGATTTAGGATGCGGATCAGCTGTTCCACTCAACCCACCGTGAGCTACCTTCTGTCTTGTTTTGTTTTCAGTTTATGTTTATTGTTGCCACATTTTGTTTTGAACATCAAACACCGCACCAAACCCATGAGCCATTTATCTTAAGACAGTTGTCTTTGCCATAATAACTAAAAGTACTGGACTGTGTGTGTGTGTGTGTGTGTTTAAAGATTTATTTATTTATTTATTTGAGAGAGAGAGAGAGAGAGAGAGAGAACATGAGTGGGAGGGACAGAGGGAGAGGGAGAGAGAATCTGAGGCAGACTCCCTGCTGTGTGCAGAGCCTGACGCGGGGTTCCATCACGACCCTGAGATCATGACCCTGAGGCGAAACCAAGAGTCGGTCGCTTAACCGGCTGCGCCAACCCAGGCGCCCCTGGACTGTGTTTACAATTCATTTCTGGCAACTTAAAACTGACCTGGGGCTCTGCTGTCTGACCATCAACTACGTCATCACAGACAATGTAATCAGTAAGGCAAAGGAACAAAGTCTAATCAAACTTCCAGAAGCTGGCTTCCAAGCTGGCTGTGTTTTGTCCATATGTTTGGTTCGGTGTGAGTTCCTCAACAGGTGAGTTCATGATGGCATCATGATTTCACTGCTGCAATCCTAAGGAGCCCGCTACTTGGATTGAATTGTAACCATTTCCTGGTCCCAGCACAAGAGCGGCTCACCGTTGCCAGTTGGGGTGGGGGCAAAAAGCAGTAGGAGAGGCGACCAAATCCCATGTGTCAATCATTGAGAAGTGTTGCATATCCTGGAAAAGCCACGGTCTAAATGCAAAATGTTGCTATTTTTCAGTTATTCTAAAAGAGAGAAAGCATCATTGTATACAACTTTTATGCGTTTAAGTGTTTATCTAAATATTAATCCATAGCACCTTTTCCTCATCCATTTATTCAACAAATATTTGTTCAACACCTACTAAGCCACATATATACGTAGAGACGTGTAAATACGTATATATATGAGTACATGTATACATATGCATGTATGTGTTATGTGTGTAGATATGTGTATACATATATGATAGGTGTGTATTATATATGCGTGTGTATGCATGTGTGTTCATATGCATTATACACATGCATATGTGCGTGTAGGTATACATGTGTATCTATACGTGTATAGTGTGACTGTTCATATATATATATATAGAAGGTCTATATAATGTAACTGCTTTCCTCCTGCTACCCAGCAGTCCCCAGGTAAGTCCTGGAACATTTCTTGGTTGTCTAGTCTCTCTCTCTGGAACATTCCATCTATGACTGCTGTGTAGAAGGACAGACCACCTAAGTAGCAGTGACTGTGTGCCCCTCCCCCCCATTGCCACTTTTGTCTCATCATTGTTTTTAAAGATTTTTTATTTATTTGAGAGAGAGAGAGCAAGCATGCACACGAGTGGGGGGCAGGGGCAGAAGGAGAGGGAGATAGAGAAGCAGTCTCCCCTCTGAGTACAGAGCCCAACGCAGGGCTCGATCCGAGGACTCTGAGATCATGACCAGAGCTGAAACCAATAGCCACTTAACCGATTGAGCCACGCAGGTGCCCCTTGTCCCCTCATTTAACTTTAGCCACTGTTTTGAGTTTTGCACACTGTTGTTCCTCTCACCAGCTTGGGAAGGGTGGTGCGATCACGCCGAGGCTTAGGGAGAAAATCCCAGCAGTGTGTGGCCCCAAACCCTCGGTGGGACTGGGAAGCCCGAGCACTTGGCCCTTTGACCACCAAATTGATGGGGGAATTTCAACCAGGGCCACGGGCCTGCTCCTGCCTCTTGGTAGCTAAGAATTTCTTTTCTCAAATCTGGGAATCGATTTTTTTTTCCTTACACACATTTTAGGACTGGGAGAAGCATTTTCTGGATGCCAGTGCCAGCAAGCCAAGCGACTGGAACAGTGAGCTGGAGGGGGACTGGCAGGGGCCGATGCTGCAGAAGCCTCTGTACCAGGTGCGTGACATCTTCTCCTTGCGATGCCCACCCCTCCCCCCGGCCTGCGTCCTTCGGGGCCACCACGTAGAGTTTGTTGTTGCAGGACGGCCTGAAACCAGAGGGTATAGACAAAGACATTTGGCTCCACCAGAAGATGAAAAACAACTATTTGACAGAATACGACCTCTCTGAATTTGAGAACATTGGTGCCATTGGACTGGAGCTTTGGCAGGTCATGTGGTTTTTAATTTGCTGTAGTTTGAGAACTCTGAGCTTCAGCCTAAACTCCTTCATTCACATAGCTGGTACTCCTTAGCTCCTACTATGTGCCTGGCCCCTGGACCCGGATCCAAGACACACAGCCGTGGACAAAACAGACATCCATTCTGCCCTCTGGGCACTTCCTGTCTGCCTCCCTGCCCCCTGGGAACCTGTCACTTCTCTGCTTAAGTGTTGCTGCCGCTCCTGGCCATGGCCTACTTTGCACAGTAAGGTTCTCGGGCAGCGGTTGGCAACCATCGTGGAATGCTCGAGTCATTTGGGTACTCTTCCAAGCCTCCCTGCCCAGGTAGCACTGGGGACCAGTTAAATCAGCATCCCCAGGGGTGAGGCCAGACATCAGGAGTTTCTAAAATATTGTTGGTGATCCCCGTATGCAGCTTAGTTTGAGCACCAATGCCTTGGAGGGAGCGGACGTTTTAGAAATGGGTTTAAGCACGTGCTACTGTCGAGAGCCGATCACTGTGACGGCACTGAGCCAAATACAACTGTTTCTGGGTGGAAAGCTGCCATATTCCTCACATCAGTAAGAAAGGCCTCATTTTCCTCCACAGGTGAGATCAGGAACCATCTTTGATAACTTCCTGATCACAGACGATGAAGAGTATGCCGAGAATTTTGGCAAGGCTACTTGGGGGGAAACAAAGGTACGGTGCACATAATGAACTTCTCGTTTGTTATTCATTTATTTCTGTACTTGAATCTAACACACAGGAAAGGGCTTGATGAGTTTTCAGTAGTGAACATCCCACCCAGAACAAGATACAGAACGTTAGCAGGGTTCTGGGAACCTCCTCCTGCCCCCTCCCAGCCGCCACCCGCCCCCCAAAGGAACCACCACCATACATCCATTTGACCTCCTTTTGAAATTCATATAAGTGGAGGCATCCAATATTTACTCATTCAGGCAGTGCTATGAGGTTCATATTATCAAATAGGGCAGCAGCTTGTTTTTAGTGTGTGAATATTCCAGAAGGTAGGTATCCATTCTCTGTTGATGCAGCTTTGGATTGCTTCCAGCTTGGGGCCTCGTGAATAAAGCCATTACCATCATTCCTGTGCATGCCCAGGAGAGGACAGGTTGGATCACAAGGCCAAACAGTTTTCAAGGTGTCATCCTATTTTCTGTTCCCTTGGGCAGTAGATGAGAGTCTCAGTTTAGCTGCATCTTTGGTTATGCTGGGTATTAGTGTCAGTTGCTGACAAGTCACATTTCCTGAAGTATAATTTACATACTGTAAGACTTACCCTTTTTTGGTGTAGAGGCCTGTGAGTTTTGACAAACGAATACAGTTGTGAAACCACCAACAGAAATCCAGATGCAGAAGAGTGTCACCACCCCCAAAAGTCTCCTTGTGCTCTTTGTAGCCAAACCTTCTCCCACTCCGACCCCCGCTGATCTGGTATCTGCCACTACCGTCTTGTCTTTTCCAGAGTGTCCTATAAATGGATTCATCTAGTGTGCAGTCTTTTTTTTTTTTTTTTTTTAGATTTTATTTATTTATTTGTCAGAGAGAAAGAGAGAGAAACAGGCTCCCCACTGAGTAAGGAGCCTGATGTAGGACTCGATCCCAGGACTCTGGGATCATGACCACAGCCGAAGGCAGACGCTTAACTGACTGAGACACCCAGGCATCCCTAGTGTGCTGTCTTTTGGAGCCTGCTTCTCAAGCATAAGGTGTCTGAGATCCATCCATGTTGTTGCGGTATCAGTCAGTATTTGGTTTCTTCATACTGCTGAGTAGTTTTATCTGTTCACCAGCTGACAGACAATTGGGTTGTTTCCAGTTTTTGACATAAGAACAAAGCTCTTATAAAATCTGCTCACAGTTTTTGTGTGTGGATGTGTGCTTTTAGTTCTCTAGGATAAATAGCCAAGAATAGCTGAGTCCTACAATAGAAGTTTAACCCCATAAGAACCTGCCAGGCTGTTCCCAGAGGGGCTGCACTGTCTCCCATCCTCACCGGTGCTGGGGATTGTGGGTTTCTCTAGGTGTGTAGTGGTACCTCCGGTTTTAGTTTTGTAGCCCCGATGACAAATGAAGGTTGGCACTGTTTTATGGCTTTTGTGGCCATTTGGACATCCTCTTTTGTGAAATGCCTGTGTTTTATTGTTTTAATTGAAGTATAGTTGGCATACAGTATTATATTAGTTTCGGGTGTACAACATAGTGATTCAACATGTATATACATTATGAAGTGCTTGCCACGATAAATCTAGCTACCATCTGTCACCATATGAAGTTATTACAATATTATTTACTATATTCTCTATGCTGCCCATGACATCCCTATGACTTATTTATTTTATAACTGGAAGCTTGTGGCTTTTGACCCCCTTCACCCATTTCACCCACCCCCTCCACCCTGCCTCTGGCAACCATCAATGTGTTCTCTGTTTCTATGAATTCATTTTTTTAAAAAAGATTCCATATAAAGTAAGATCATATGGTATTTTTCTTTGTCTTACTTATGTCACTGAGCATAATGCTCTCAAGGTCCATCTGTGTTGTTGCAGATGGCAAGATTTCATTCTTTTTTATGGCTGAGTAATATTCCACTGTGTGTGTGTGTGTGTGTTTAGGCAATGTCTTTTTGAGAGAGTGTTTTCATGTTCTTCAGGTAAATAGCCAGAAGTGGAATTACTGGATTATATGGTATTGCTATTTTTAATTTTGGAGGAGGCGTCATACAGTTTTCTGTAGTGATTACACCAATTTACATTCCTGCCTGCAGTGTATGAAGGATCTCTCTTCTCCTACATCCTTGGCCAATGCTTCTTACGTTGTGTTTTTTTGATACTAGCCATTCCAACAGGTGTGAGGTGATAGCTCATTATGGTTTTAATTTGCATTTCCCTGACGATGAGGGATGTTGAGCATCTTTTCCTGTGCCTTTTGGCCTTCTGTATGTCTTCTTTGGAAAACGTCTATTCAGATCCTCTGCCCATTTTTAAATCACATTTTTTTGCCTTTAAGTTATAGAAGTTCTTTATATATTTTGGATATTAATCCCTCATCAGATATGACTTGCAAATATTTTCTCCCAGTCAATATAGGTTACCTTTTCATTTTGTTGATGGTGAACCATTTCTTTTGGAATCTGATTTTTGCCACAAAGACTTACTCTTTTTCTTTTCTTTTTTTTTTTAAATTTCATTTATTTATTTGAGTGAGAGAGAATGAGAGATAGCACGAGAGGGAAGAAGGTCAGAGGGAGAAACAGACTCCCCGCTGAGTAGGGAGCCTGATGTGGGACTTGATCCCGGGACTCCAGGATCATGACCTGAGCTGAAGGCAGTCGCTTAACCAACTGAGCCACCCAGGCGCCCAAGCCTTA